CCTTTCTCTCTATCACTCCCTGAATATTACAGGTTTAGATCCATTTATTTATTGCATAATTACCTTTATATTTCTTCGTCCAATTTGATCTCCCTTTCCGGGTGTTTTTTTCCTCATGATTTAGATTTTATACACATCAATTAATTATATATACAACGTATATTGTGTATAAATGCATTTTTGGTGTTTAAGGTTAGGGTTTTAATTGTTATAGAGGGGGAAGATGTTCAATAAAATCATGAAGAGAGGCCACCGTAAGGTGCCCAAACCGGATGGCGCCGCTGTTGATTATTCCTATGCTCCGACTGGACGGAGTTCCGGTCCTGTCTCTACCTCCAATGTTGTTGTTAACCATGCTTCCCGTGGTGGTGCGCCGCCTGTTTCGTCCCAATTTCAGCAACTTCCTGCCACAGCCGGAATGGTCCCTCTTCCCGGAACCATTGAGAATCTACCTATGTTCCGGGATGTCCCAGTTACCGAGCGGCAGAGTTTATTCTTGCGGAAACTCCAAATCTGCTGCTTTCAATTTGATTTCTCGGATACCCTTAAGATGGTGAGAGAAAAGGAGATTAAAAGACAAACCCTTGTGGAGCTTGTAGAGTTTATTCAATCTGGGTCCGGTAAAATTTCTGAAAGCAATCAAGCGGAAATGATACGAATGATATCCTTGAATATTTTGCGATGCTTGCCTCCGGCCTCCCATGAAAACTCAGGTTCGGAAAATCTAGACCCCGAAGAGGAAGAGTCTTACCTCGACCCTTCTTGGCCCCATTTGCAGTTGGTTTATGAATTGCTGTTGCGGTATGTGGTTTCATCTGATACAGATACGAAGGTTGCAAAGCGATATATTGATCATTCTTTTGTGCTGAAGTTGCTTGATTTGTTTGATTCGGAGGATATGAGGGAGAGGGAATATTTGAAGACAATACTGCATAGGATATATGGGAAGTTCATGGTGCATAGGCCATTTATTAGGAAGTCAATAAATAATATTTTCTTTAGGTTCATATATGAGACGGAGAGGCACAGTGGCATTGGAGAGCTTTTGGAGATTCTTGGAAGTATAATTAATGGATTTGCACTGCCAATGAAGGAGGAGCACAAATTGTTTCTTGTCCGGGCTTTGATACCACTCCACAAGCCCAAAACAGTAGCAATTTACCATCAGCAGTTATCATACTGCATTACACAGTTTGTGGAAAAAGACTACAAATTGGCAGATACCGTTATAAGGGGTTTGTTGAAGTACTGGCCAGTCACCAATTGCCAAAAGGAAGTTCTTTTCCTGGCAGAACTTGAGGAAGTTTTAGAGGCAACCCAGGCTGCAGAGTTCCAGCGTTG